AGTGACGGATATAGAAAGCATGGCCTTTTAATGAAAGGTGCTAATTATCTAAAACTAACGAGAGGCAGACCCTTACAGGATTATGTCAAGCGTTTCAAGTCCAAAATCACAGACGAGCAACAAGCGTTCAAGGGATACGCCAACACCTACTCGGTAAGTGATATAAGATTAAAGGGGATGAAAGGTTTATCCTACTTAAAATATCAGAAGCAACGACTGGCCGAATTCCTGAACAGAAACCCGAACATGAAAATAATCGTGGAAACTGATTTATCATTCAAAAATCCCGACAATGAACTTATCCAAAGGAGATTAAGAAGCAGAAGATACAATATTCATAATACCGATGAGTTGAACAACGTCTTAAACAACATTGGACATGACATTGAGACACAAATTGAAGTAGTCGAAGACGTTCAGTCGAGTTTGGTTCTTGTCCAAGTTGAAAAGTTAGTCATCAGTTATGATAGGTACAATCCTACCCGTGGTTCATCCTTTATTGCATTGCCCGACTGGGTGGCAAACAAAAAGGCTTGTATTAACATTAAAAATGAGGATGACTTATGTTTTAAATATTCCGTTCAATGTGGATTTTATGAGTTATTCAAAAAAGACCATCCCTGCGACATGTATCATTATAAGAAATATGTAGATGACAAATTTATCAAATGGGATAATAGACTTTCCAGTAGGTAATGATGAGATTGAACTATTTGAAGAACAGAACAAACACATATCGGTCAATGTTTATTACATAAACCCCGATACGAATAGTAAAACTATTTTATTATACAAAAGAAGCAACAACCCACAAGCACAACACAAAATCGATTTAATTAAATTGACTGATGAAGTTAAATCGCATTACGCTTATATCAAAAATTACGATAAGTTAATGAGTAGTCAGACTAACAAAAAGAAAGTTAAAAAGTATCATTGTAGAACCTGCTCTCATGGTTTTCAATCAGAAGAATTATTGAAACAACACGAAGAACAGGGATGTCTAGCAGTTGAGGGTCAAAAAATAGAAATGCCAAAAGCAGGTGAAACAATAGCATTCAAAAACCATTTCAAGAAACTTAAAGCTCCATTCGTAATCTATGCCGACTTTGAATGTTTAACTGTGCCAATTGATGTTAAAAGCAAATCGGCAAAAGCTAAAACTACATCATATCAAAATCATCGTCCGTGTGGTTTTATGATTAATGTAGTCAATGCTATAACCGGAAGTAGTGAGCCTTACTTATACAGAGGTGAAGATTGTATGGATGTGTTTGTAAAAAGAATGCATAAAGTGAAATGGGATGTTTTTGAGAAAATGAAGGAGGTCAAAGACCGTATTGAAACCGAGGAGGACTGGGAGGACTTCAATACTGCCACTAACTGCTTCATTTGCGGAAACAAGTTTGAGGAAGGTGAAAAGAAGTGTTGGGACCATTGTCACTTTACGGGGCAGTATAGAGGTTGTGCCCACGAGGACTGTAATCTTCGATTTAGTATGAGATATTATAAAATCCCTGTGTTTCTTCATAACCTTAAAAACTATGATGCCCACTTAATCATCAACAAGGCTCACGAACTGAACAAGAATTCTAAAATAGAATGTATCGCTCAGAACAGCGAAAAGTTTATAACCTTTGGTTTTAAAAATCTTTGTTTCAAGGACAGTTTCAGTTTCTTATCGTCTTCGTTGGATAAGTTGGTGAAGTTGAGTAAATATGAGGATGATAAAAAGCGTGAGAATTGGAAGAACAATTTCAGATACAGCGTTAGAAACCCGTATGTTAAAACCGATGAAGATTTGGATTTATTGACTGATAAGGGTATTTATCCCTATGACTACTTTGATGATTTTGAAAGATTTAAGGAAAGGGCTTTACCACCGAAAGAAGCGTTTTACAGTAAATTGAGTGAAGAACATGTAAGCGATAAAGATTATGAAAGGGCACTGAAAGTATGGAAGCACTTCGGGATTAGAACACTCGGGCAGTATCACGACTTGTATTTAAGAACTGATGTTTTACTACTGACCGATGTATTTGAAAACTTTAGAGACTTGTGTATGGAATACTACGGTTTAGACCCCGCTCATTATTATACGTTGCCAAATTTCGCGTTTGATGCGATGCTTTTAAAAACTGGTGTGGAAATAGAACAAATCAGTGATAAGGACATGTATGAAATGATTGAGAAGGGTATGAGAGGTGGTATGTGTCAAGTCAGTCATAAATTGGCGGTGGCAAATAATAAGTATATGGTTGGGAAATATGACAATTCAAAACCGAGTAGTTACATAAATTACTTAGATGCTAATAATTTGTATGGTTTGGCAATGTCCCAGAAGTTGCCATTGAAAAATATCAAGTGGGCAAAGAAAACGCCCAGTGTTGAAAATTGGAATGAAAATGATGAGTTTGGTTATATTATGGAAGTTGATTTGGAATATCCCGAAACATTGCACGACTTCCACTCCGACTATCCGCTAGCACCGGAAATAATGAAAGTAAAAAGTGGATATGCTTTCCGATTATCAAAAGCAAGTCTATAAAATGTATTATGACGGAAAAACTCCGAAGGACGAGAAAACAAGTAAGTTAATATTAAATCTAAAGGATAAAGAAAAATATGTGGTTCATATCAAGACTTTACAGTATTATTTGAAAATGGGATTGAAAATGGGTAAAGTCCATAGGATAATAAAAATTCAACAGCGGGCATGGTTGAAACCGTGGATTGACTTCAACACTGGTAAAAGGAAAGAAGCCAAAAGCGATTTTGAGAAAGAACTCTATAAGCTGATGAATAATAGTGTATACGGTAAAACTATGGAAGACAAGCGTAATCATATGGATTTTGAATTAGTAGATAATGAAGTTAGATATGAAAAATGCGTGAATAATCCAACTTTCAAAAATAGATTTATTATTAATGAAAATCTCGTAGGAGTTGAGAAAACTAAAGCAAAACTGAAACTGGATAAACCAATCTTTTTAGGAATGACTATTTTAGATTTAAGTAAATTACATATGTATCAGTTCTATTACGATGTCCTTAAGAAGAAGTATAACGACAACATCAAATTAGTATATACAGATACTGATAGTTATGTAATTCAAACTCAACCAGAAGACATTTACAAGGACTTCAATGGTTTAAGGGAACACATGGATTTTAGCGATTATCCTGTGGAACATCCATGCCATGACAAAGCAAACAAGAAAGTATTAGGAAAGTTTAAGGATGAATTAAACGGACAAATAATAACATCATTCATTGGGTTGAAGCCTAAATCATACGCTTTTCAAGTCTATGGTGAAGAAGAAGAACATAAGAAATCAAAAGGTGTAGTCAAACATAAAGTCAAAAAAGAATTGAATTATCAAAACTATGCAGAAGCACTTTATCTCAACAAAAAGCACGAAATAACTTACAATTTTATTCGTAGCCGTAATCATCAAATCTTTTCAATGTCTCAAGTCAAGCAATCTCTCAGTAATTATGAAAATAAACGCTATTACTTTGACGCTTTTAATTCAATACCTTTTGGTCACTACGCTATTCCGAAGGAATAGCCTAGTGAGCCTTGCGACACTACACATTAAAACGCTCCTACTGATTTGATTAGTGATATATTTGTTAGTTTGTTTTCGGGTTGAAAATGCTTGCATCATCCAGCATCAGCATCGTCCAGCATCAAAGCATCAAGCCAGCAACCCGCATGATAGGTGAAGCGGTTTAGGTGATGCCTTCTGTAACGGTGGTTTAGACGATGACACGGAGAGCCTCAAATGACAAATCAATGTATGTGGCGGGATTTTGCCACAGTCTGTGGCGGGATTTTGCCTCATTCTATGGCGGGATTTTGCCTCATTCTATGGCGGGATTTTGCCTCATTCTATGGCGGGATTTTGCCTCATTCTATGGCGGGATTTTGCCTCATTCTGTGGCGGGATTTTGCCTCATTCTGTGGCGGGATTTTGCCTCATTCTATGGCGGGATTTTGCCTCATTCTGTGTCGGGATTTTACCATCAAAAGCCCTCCGTGAAGGACTTACACTATGAGCCATTGCAACTAAGACAAATCAATCAAATTATTATCCTGAACTGAAATTATAATCATAATATAATAATAACATGTAAAATCTTATATGTTATAATTATACTGAACTTTTAACCTATAAAACCCCTTAAACTTATCTAAATAAATAACCCCTTAAACATATAGAGACCAATGACAGACAAAAAGCAATGTTCCAAATGTAAAGTCTTTCAATTGTTAGAAAAGTTCAACGAAGGACGAAAACAATGTAATGTATGCTTGGAGAGCAAACGACGGTATAGAGAAGCACACAAAGAACAAATACAAGAGAAGGCAAAGGTTTATTATGAACAAAACAAGGACTACTACAAAACATACCAACAACAATATACTCAGACCTTGATTGAATGTGATATATGTAATCGTCATTATCATCAAGGCAAGCGAAAGCAACACGAAGAAACCAGCTTTCATCAACACAACCTCAAACTGAAAAAATAATATGAACGTCATAAAACAAATACACCACCAACACCCCAGAACATTATAACTACTAAAAGGGTTAACTCTTTCAAATGAAAAAAATGTCGGCCCCCAGCCCAACAATGAACAAGGCGACAATTTACCCAATTGATTACCTTAACGAAAACGATAAATAAGCTCCCTAAAAACACCCTTTTCAAAACGAATAAGGGGGAACACAGATTTGAGATGGACATAAAAACCATAACAGGCAACCCTCAACAGGCTTCCCCTCAGGATCACCCTTTCTTCCATTTTTTTTTTTGGGGGGGGGTTGCATACATATGTGTGTGTGTATATATATATACATATATATTTGCATGCATCTCTCTCTCTCTATATATATATATATATCTCTATCCGTATGAAGTTTTCAGTTTGTCATATACTCGACACGGCAACGGGCAAAGCCGGACACTGCGACGTCGCTCCGAGGCGCAAAGAGTCGCAAGAACTCGGGCCGATCTTTGGTCAGAGACATCCGCAGCTTCTGCGCCAAGATGTCCAAGTCCTTGAGACGTTGATGCGGAAAACTCTGCACATTTGGCTGTGGTTGTCAAAGCCGTTTTGGGATCCCATTTTGGTTGGGTGAATTCACCACCCGTTTTAGAACCTATTTCAGTGGGGATTGGGATGTTCACTGGGGGTACGGGCTTTTGACCCATGGCCATTTGCGTAACATGCTTCACTCCTCAGGCTAACATGAAAGCTTCCAGAAGGCCTCTGTAAATGGAACCAAGTCTTCCAAAGGGGTCCTGGGAGCTTCCATGCTAGTGTGAGGGAGTGTTCAACGTTGCGTAAATGATCTCCATCTATCAAACACATAACTCACAAATCACAAATATCGATTGTGACATCGGAGCTCAAGTAATCAACGCACCACATCGTCGCAGCGATCTGGAGCATTTCTACACCGCCCAGAAGTACTAAACACACAAAACGCGACATGACCCACCTCTCACCCAAGCCATCAAACCACAGGAATGCGTCAACATGGGGAGGGGGGGGGTGGGACGGGTGGTTTTACATTTGTTCCCTGTAAACCTACCCTCAAAAAACACGAAACACACACACAAACATAAACACACACACACAAACAGGTACACACACACAAACATACATACAAACACAGGCTCAAACACACGCCCGCACACGCACACACACTCACACACTCACACACTCACACACTCACACATCTCACACTTGCAACCGTACTCATATGACCATACACACATGTTCGCATCACTTTCCAACCGCCATGTCATTTGTGCTGTTTCCCTTCTTTAAACATTTAAAGGCGTCATCAAGAAGGCATCCGCTTCTGGAACAACCCTCAAGCTAGAGTACGCGCCACGGGGTGCTACCACATATTCACTCGGAAGTGCGGCCCAGTGGAGGCAACTACCCAAACACCCAATCGCGCAAAGCCGCGGTCTTCTGAAGACCTCTTCCGCAGAGGGGAGCAAAGGTCCGGCGCAGCGCGGTGCTGGAAAAGGCCTCGCGGCTTCCGGTAAGCTTGGAGAGGTTCTCTTTGGCTTCCTGTTAACATGGGCCCAGATGGTTTGGTTCCTGGTTCGTTACACATAAATGGGCCTCTAAAACACACACACACACACATGTTTCAAATGGGCCTCTTAAACATGGGTTCCGGTTTTGGAACACACTGTTTTTTGGTAGGGTCCGGAGCGTGTGACAGGTAATTAGGAAAGCTCTGCCACACCTTGCTTGAGGGTCTCCTGCAAAAAGACTCTTGCCCTCAACGTCTTTTTGACACGTCTTTGCTTCCGGGTACCGGTTTTTGGGTGGTGGCTTAAGGGGAAGGGGAAACAATCCTTTTGGGGTTGAAAAGCTTTGCTACCCGGTGTCCAACCGACTGCAAGACTGGTCAATTGTACCACCACATCTTTCGCAATTCATTGACTGTGGGTTGGAAGCCAAACGAAGGGCTGGTGTTTCATCACGGCTGGTGACAGATGCTGTCACAAGTTCTGGCACAGAAGCGTCGCTCGCAATCTCCTGCTGTGGTGGAGGTGTTGCAAGCTCCGAAGACACGGCCTCTTTCTTGAGGCGGGTCCTTTTCTGGGAGCCACCGTCCCCCAATAATTGATGATATCCCTCCTTCTTGGAAGCCAACTGTAGGAAACTCAACAGGACATAAGGACTCCGCCTCAAGAAACAACTTCCTCCAGATTTCCCCCTTGCACAACCACAAAGCAGCTAGCATCAACACACGCAAAGAGCTTGCCAGGCTCGCTTTCGCTCGAGAACTCTTCGGTGACTCGGCTCAGCTAAAAGCCGAACTTGCGTGACACTCGCTCTGCTCACAAACCCTGTTGGGTCCAAGTCACATCCGCAACCGCCGTGGCACATTTTTCACCCCCTGCACATTGTTTGGGGAAAAACGAATCGCATCTTGGGCCATCTAAACAAGAGAAAAGCCGCTGGGCGCCGGAATCTCGGCCAGAGCAACCAGAGCTTAGAACAAAGAAAGGCCCCCGGCAACTAACACACCTCGGTTGCCTTCTGCTCCCCTGCTAAAAGTTTAACTTTTAGTGGTTTAATGGAAAACCCATTAGTTGACAAAAAGTTAAAGTCCTAACATCCAAGCAAAACATCATTGTTCATCCGTAGCGATGAGCAACTCGAACTTCAGCACCAAAGGCTTCATTCCCTTGCCCAAAAACAGCTCCATCGGCCGAAAGAACAAACAACCCATGTTTAGAGCGGTGTCCTTTCGGATTGTGCCCAAAGCAACCGAACTTCTTGGGCCTATGAAGCAACCGAACACAAGGTTAAAGAAACAAGCAAACAAGCAAACAAACATACAAACGAACAAACAAAACCATGGAGCTTGCAACAAAACCATGGAGCTTGCGGTCGGGTTGGGGTCCAAAAAGGCTGCTGGCCTGCCTTGGCTCCGCCCGCTTGGTTGTAGAGAATCTCCACCCGCAGCAACAGCGGCCCCAGCTCAGGGTCCGCCGGCACTTGGAGATACGACCTTCACGTGACTGGCCATGGCTCAAAATCCAAATCGGTTAGCAGTGAACATCAACCAATCCAACCACTAACATAGGTTCTAAAATGGGATTCCGCTTCAGCATTCACAGTGCAATATCCAGGGAGTGTCGAACATGCAGGGCTCCTAAAGTCGTCGAACATTGAGACCGTGGAAAAATAAGGGGGTTGGGATGTCTGCAGCAAAAGGCAAACCTCTGGCATGTATGAGGCTTCATTAAAGATCTGAAAATCGGTGGTTTCCCTCCGCCCTCAACCGATCAAAGGGTCACCCCGCCCATTTCAGTCCCAGACCTCCGGCCTAGGGGTTCCAAGGAATCGATGGACAGAAATCCCGTGGATATTCTGTGTCTTTTCTCGGGTTGCTTCTCCCAACAGAACAATCCGTATTTGTATAAGGGGGGGGGGTCTCCAAAAAAAAGGCGCACATAGACAAATGGGCAACGTTGAAGGGAACGAACATTCCCAATTGAACGGACCACAACATGTGTGGTTCCCTTTGGACCGACCAAGGTTCAGCCCCTCAACGGGGGAAAAACAAACTTTGAATTGCTCTCCCCAAAGTAACAGGGAACCCCCCCAAAAAAACTCAAATGGATCCGGAAAAATGTGTCCATGCCAACCTGCGGGGAGAGTTCCTCCAACGGGGCGTTTTTCACGGGCGGCACCAAAAAACGGCCATGGGTCAAAAGCCAAATTGTACTCCCAGTGAACATCCCAATCCAACCACTAAAATCCCGGTCCTAAACGTGGGTGGTGAATTCAGCTACCAACCAAAACGGGATCCCAAAAAGGTTTTTGCACCTACCAACCCAAATGGGATCCCAAAACGGTTTTGACAGCCACAGCCCAATGCGTGGGCTTCCGGCTGGTTTCTGAGCCGCGGCGCTCTACCTGGGAACCTAACCCGCCGGCTTCCAGCTGCTCCAAGAGGCGGAAGGCGCCCGACATCATCAGCGACTTCACCTCCTGGGGGTCGTCTTTTTTTTCTTCCTCCTCCTTTTTTGTCCCTTTCTTTCGGAGCTTCGTTTGGGTCTTGGGTTTTGGCCAGGTCCTCCAGATTTGAGAGCTTAGAATAAGTTGGTACCCGACTTTCTGTTTTGCTTTTTCGGTTTAGCCTATTTTAGTAGTAGGGGAGCCCTCCAACCCGTTGGTAAAAGGGCACTGGGGGACCTTGGGGTTCGTGTTTGGCTGTACTCCTTTGGGTTGTCAAGCTCAGCAAGGGCAGAGCGTGGCTCGCGAGGAGCGCCAGGTTTTTGCATTTTTGGGGGTTCCCGCTAAGACCCGCCCTCGCGAGCCACGTCCGACCCGGGGGGCCATGCTGTCCAAAGAGTGCAGAATCCAGTTCCTGGACTCCGGGAGTGCCTTATTTTTTGGGAGGGGATTATAGCAGGCGAACGTGCCAATAAACATGGCTTCCGGTTGGAGGTCCTGTGCACTTCCATGGCAAGACCTCTGGCCGAATATGTTGGTGGATGTCCCAAACAGAGGGGAACCAGTTGGTTGGTTCCAAGTGAACAAGGGAGAAAACACGTGGAACTGGAACACCCGAATGGCAGCAAAGACTTCAATCGGTGAGTGAAACGGAGTGCATCCAAAACCGCACCGCACTTGCGCCCCCGCTCGGCTGCCTTTCCCAAAGGTAACATGGACCACGACGAAGGTTTGTTGAAGAGAACACTTTCGTCTTGCAGCACCCTCCAGGCAGGGAGCAAAATGAACACATCCAGCGGGAGCACAAAGCACCAAACACACATTCCCATCTTGCAACACAGTGTTTGTCTTGGGAGGGGAACAGGAACCTCCAAAACGCCCAGCTTCTCTTTGGTTTTTCCCCCAAAAGTTACCCTGACAAAACCATTGTCTTTTGCTTCGAGCTTCCAGATCCACCAGCGCTGTCTGGTGCCGGTGTGCTTGCGCCATGTCCATGCAGTAGCAGACCTTCTCCTCATGTGCATGTTTTTGATGGTACCCTTCTCCCCTTGGTACCATCTTTACCCAGCCGGAGACGTGACCACTCGCCACCGGGTGCACCAAACCATGGAAGATGTCCCGATTACCCATTGTCCAAGGAAAGCGCCCAGGACATGGTCGGGATAAGTGAGATTCCTATCCTGCTACTACACTTTTCTCACCTGAAGGGCGGCAACCTAACAAAACCCATCTTACACAACCATAGCCTAGAGGCATGTTTGAAACCGCCACAAACATGGCACATGTAATTAAGGGTCTCTGCTCAGTTCGCCTTTTAGTGGGTTAAATGGAAACTACTACTAAACGCCAACACCCTGTAACAACCTAAAGCCCTAAGCAACCGGATGGCCGGGAACCACCAACATTCACGACTCTTGCAGAATCTTGTCATCAGCAACTGAAAGGTTCGGGGACTGGTTGCAGCTTCCCAGCATCGAAGCGGCATGTGGGAGCAAGTCACCAGAGCTTGTCTCCAGTCGATGGCACCGCAAAGATCCTTCATTCCACCATGTTCATTATCGGCCCTGGTTGCCTTAGAAGCGCAAATGCACGAGATTGAGACTATATAGAACCATTCCCTTTGCGTGGGTAAACAAAGGGGATGACTAACCAAAGCGAGTTGTGCCACCTACTTTCACCCGACTGTAAAGGCCCAAAACAGACTTTTTCTATTGCTCACCAGCAAACCCCTCAGCCCAGAGCGTGGACGCAGAAGGCGTAAGGCAAGAAGCAAGACAATTGATAAGGTCGGCTTGTTGGAAAACCAACCATATTCAGTGCGCCAAAACAACTTTGTCCCGCACCCAAAAAGGGTTCTTTTTCCCGCACAGAGGTGCCTCTGAAGAGCGGATGGTTCTAGGGGTTGATTCCTTTTCCATTCTTTTCATTCATCGTTCTTTTCGAAAACCGGATCTGTTTCCCCTGGGTTCTGGTGGTTTCTGGAAAGACGGATCCCTGGAAAGAATGGAAATGGAAGTGTCCCCTAGAAAAATATATTACGCCAGGTCCAGACGCTTAAGGGGGTGATGGCGCCTGGAATGGCTGGGGCTCACAACTGAAGACGAAGGCGCCTTGTCCTTCTCGCGGCTTTTGCCCTTCCGGTCGGCTTCAGCCACTGGCAATGCCTCGTCGATGCAAAGAGAAGGCGAGTTGTTCACCTTGGTCCATCAGGGAAGCAAACAAATGCCCCCCCCCTACAACTCAAGGAAAGGATTTTAGACTCTTCATGAGGGAAACAAATAAATGCTGCCCTACAACTCAAGGGAAGGTTCTTAGACTCTTCTGAGAAGTGGCGCTTAATGGTTTCTGAGAATCAATGCTGGTGGGCCATTCCGGGGGCTAGGGGCCTTGGAAATGACTGGCCCTTTGTGTGATACCATGCGCTGCAAACGTCCGACGGGCGTGGCATCCGATTTTGGTATCTGAAGGTCAGCCGCCTTGGGCGCGCCCTTGGGGCGAGTTGCACAAGCAATGGCTCTTCAAGTCAAAGCCCATAATGATCGCTAAGCATCTTGTTGGGACATCAACAAAACCTTATTTAGAGGTCCGACATTTCCTCGTCGGGGATCTGAACCCCTCAAAAGGAGGGTCCACCCAACACTGGGCAATATTGAGACGGACATTGTCCATGGCAAGCAAGGCAGTACATATGCGGTTCCCATGAAAGGGTTCTTTCATCATGGAGGTCGCAAACGCCCTAAGGTCGCTACAATTTGACCAGACAGCATTGGATTTTGATATGTTGGCTTTCACACGGGTATGTGTCCACTTCAGCATGGGACAATTTGCAGTCACAAGGCAAGTGGACAGTCTTGGGCCACCGACCTTTGGTTCTGTTTTTAGGGGCTGGTTGCCCAACCCTGCTCCCAAGTCAAAGCAAGGTCGCCTGTTGCTTTCACACCAAGACTCAATTTGGAAGGAACCAGGGTCTCAGGAGCGCCAGGCATGGGATGACAACGCCCACGCAACCATTTTTTCCAGGAAACTAGGATGGCGATATGCTGCCCAGTGCTCACCTAAATCGCGTTTTCGTTTGGATCTGTGGATCTTGCCTGCTTTCCAAAGGCATCCGACTCAGATTTATTTGCCGCCCAAAGCCAAGGAACTTCCAGCAAATAAGTCTTGAAGTTCTCGTCCAGCATGACGTCGAAGCCAAAGACCTGCCAAGTGGGCGAACCTTCTTCCCCTTGTTTTCAGGATTCCAACGTCACTGCAATGGCCCTGTGGATCAAACACATCCAGTGTAAGCAGCCGAATGCACCCTCGTGGTTTTCGCAACAACCGGGCAGCCCAAATCGAGAGATTGCCCCGAAGCCATCCCAACAACACCAATGGCAACCGACTTGAACACCTAAAAGGGACACCTACGATCGAAAGCCACGTGTTCTCTACTCTTCCGACATCCCCCGACCCTTCGGACGCCTGGAAGCACCGCATCTGTCGGCTCTGCGCCGCCAAGACGGGGCCGAAGAGCGCAGTGCAGCGCTGCGCGATCTGCAGCACCGAGTCATAGAAGGCATCCACGTCGAAGCCCTCGTGCTCCTAGCGCAGCCCCCAGCGCAGCCCAGCGAAGTTTGGACACCTTAAAGTAAAGCTGGGAGTGTCCACCAAAAAGCCATTGACTCAATGACCTTCGCTTCTATGGCGATCAAGGTTGAGGTGACCAGGTGGTAGAACCGGCCATGCTTTGGGACCATCGGCGCATGTAGCCGCTTGATTTAGGCCACTTCGAAACAGACCACGCACGCCAATCTTGCTCGAAGACTCAGCGGTTGAGTCAGCGGGCAGCGCTCTCATTAAAGCCAAGGGTGCGAAACACTCGTTCTGCACCCCGAAGAGCTGACTTCACGCACGGGGATTGTGTTTGGCCCGCTTCTGTTCCAGCCACTTCTGGCACTTTGCCGTGCTTGTTGGTGTGTTTCAGCGGCATGCCTTGCACGTGAGCGACTTGCTTGGATGAGCCACACCTTGAGCAAGTTCGCCGATGGACATGCTCTCTGGCGTGAGAAAAGAGGGTCCCGACGCTACAACCATTTAAGACAACTCTTGCGGATTCAGACACGGGCGCGCCTGTCCGGGAAAAAAACAAGTGGCAAGGTGCTGCAAGCTTGTGATCCTCGTCGGCTTTTTCCTGATTGTCGGCTTGTTGTCGGTTTGTTGTCAGTTCGATATCGGTCAGATCACCTATTCGGTTGTCTTGAAAACTGTGTCCTGATCAAACTCTTATCTGGGCCTGCCTGCCTGCTGCTGTTTTGCTCGCTCGTTGGTTGACATTGGTTTTGCGTGCTAGAACTCGAGTGACGGACCTTTGCGTGACAAATAGGAGCGAAGTTGTTCCAATTGTAACAACACGTTCTCTCTTTGTATATGCAAACGCGGACATTTATTCATAGATATAATTCACATAAGATCATACATGAAAATAAGAAGAACAATGACGTGTTCCCGCGTGGTGAATTGCTTGCCGTGTCAGAAGTAGCCTTTGAAAGCGCCACTCAGCCCTGGAAAGCGAGACAAAACAACTCGACCACGCGGGGCAATCGAATGTTTCAACATCTTCAAACATGTTTAAACACCGATACCTCAATCAAACTGCGTTCGGTCTGCTTTGACATGCCCAAAGTTGGCATCTGCAAAAGGGCGGAGGATGCTCCTAGACACATCTCAAGCACTCTGAAGCACTGGATTTGTGAGGTTTCTTTCGTGTCTCCTCGAAGCATCACCCTAACTGCGAGTACCACATCACCCTCCTTTCAGACAAGAAATCAACCATTGGCCCCACAGGTAATGCTTAACTCACCCAACAAGCCGTCCACTGGTACTTTTGTCTCCCATCGCGTCGGGTTCGCGTGCCTGGGCCAGTTGCCTTAGGCAGACTGTCAGGGGCCTCTTGGATGACACATTCCTCGGCCAAGCAAAGATCCGCATCAACACTTCAGTCTCTCATCAAGCAACGCGTGGGTTTGACACCATACCCCCCCCCCCCCGGTGCCCCCCCGGTGGCATCCTCAACAGAGCCATACCCAGATAAATCGAGTTTGGCAAGTTTGTTAGATGAAGCCCTCCAGCCCCACCAGTACCCATAGACGTCGCTTGTTTGTTTCACATGTTGAACTCCCACACTCGCTGATATTCTGATGAGATCTTGGCGCCCGCTGGGCATTTGATTAATTAAAAAGCGCTTATATCTCCGGGAACAACCCAAATGGAGTCCACTGGTTTTGCAAAATCATCCCAAAAAGACACACTAAACAGAGAGCTCTGAACTTAAGCTTAAGGCGGAACCTGTAAGGAGAGATGAGAACACCTGCCCAGCCCAAACTGAAATCACACTCCTGCCGACACGCTGCCAAAAAAAAATCCGCCACACCTCCACCCAGCTTGGCAGCGGTAAGGTTTGGACCCCAAAAGGTTCAGTTTCCCGGTGTCCCCTGCAAGACTCCACATGACACACCAAGGGGAAGTGAGATGCTGCAAAACATCGCGGCTCAGGCACTCATCCCCAAAGACTTCGTCCAGAGACTCCGCGCAGTGCTCGAAGTTTTCACTTCGCTTGTTCAGCGAATAGTTTGTCAGGTGGCTCATGCAGTGGTGCATATTCTGCTGGCTGGGACGTTCCTGAGATACACATCTCTGGAGTCATGACAAAGTCGGGTCTGGTCATTCCTATGTTGAGGGTACTCCGAAAGCAAACCTCAATCCCAATAGGAGCGAACAGCCACGAACTATTTCGCACCAAGTAAGCCCTGAACAAGTGTAGCGAGGACTTGATCACGGGGGGCCATGATCGCGCAGGGGCTCTTTACATCCTGCGACGGCGATTCCTTTTCTCTGTGCCAGTGGAACCGGGACCTGCACATAGATATTTGAGCCCTTCAAAGGAAACTCGACCCTTGAAACAGTTCCCCTGCACAATATATTCTTGATAAATCACCACCAAAACAACATTCTTGTAGATTGGCCCTAAAAGGTGGTGTTTGAAATCACCCAAAGGGGACATGGAATTCTCTCCAAGCTCATGACACCTCTCAAATGCGTGGCTTCCCGTTCAAACATCCCCTTTCCAAGGTTCCCCTTTTGAAATCACACACACACACACAAAACTTTCATCACTTTCCCGAGCGTCGTAGGTCTCAGTGCAGAATCTCGCCTGGGCTGGTCGAACTGACCTTGCAAAAAGTAGTCTATGCTTTGCTTTGGTGGGAATGCAACCACTTTTACAAGAGTCGAAGTTCAGGTTCTGCTTGTACAAGTGTGCAAACAGCCAATTATTTTTCCAACAAGTCCAAACTTCAAGTTTGACTTTTCGTTTGCTAGTGAGACATTTCACTTTGCAAAGTCACAAGGTTAAAGGTCGTGCCAAAGAGTCGAGTGACGAGGCCCTCTCTGCAGACCCATGCAGACATGGGAACATCAGAGCCACCCGCGATGCACACGTACATGCGCAAATCGAACTTGAGGCCATTCAACAGCAAGGGCTTGCTGATGTACTTCCTCATGGGTCAAAACTCCCTGTGAGTCAAGGCCATTGCTGCCTGAAGAACCCGTACAGTTGTCTGAACCCTGTTGGGTTCATGACCACAACCTCGCGTAAAGTGCTGCTTTGACGATGGCACACATGAGCTGTCAATATTCCCCCTGCCATGGGGATTTGGCGAGAACCCCCTCCCATTTCCGAATGGTAACTTTTTCTTGCGCAGATGGACATTTGGTCACAAACAAGTTTGGGTTCCAGGCCAAGGAGAAACCTCCTCCTCCTACCGCTACTACTACATACTACTTTTAGGGGCCGGTAAGTCTGAAGAGCACCCTGCGCATAGTTGTAGACATCGCGGTCCGAAAAGGCCGGCTTCTGGTCAAGAAACGTCAATGAGGTATACAATCTTTTCTCAAGACAAGGCAATGCAGGCTTTTGGGATACTTGCTACCCACCTTGGCCACAAGGCAAATTCAAATAAACATGAATCGGCAAACGCAAGCAGCAAGATGTGCCCTTATGAATCGGATCCCCAATGGCCCCTGTACAGCCATTCACATTTGACAAATACTAGGGGGCACTAGGGGAGCCCCTGGAAAAAGTGGTACAAGGCAAAACAAAAACAATGACACCCACGCAAGTGACACTTCCTTGTGGCCCAAGCTTTGCGTCAGCACGCACCTCAAACCCACAAACCACTGAGAACAACCCCATTCGGCTCCCCTAACAAGATGGACAGCTAACCAGGCAGCTTTTGCTCAACCCTCCCCCTTCTTTGAGGCACCTGGCATCATGTTCCGTTAGGGACCCGCGATCTGGGGGTCGAACCCATGCCAACACTTCCCAGTGCTTCCTGAATATCTGTTTTGTGCTTGTTCGGAACGGTACTTTGGGTGGCGCCCATAGCTCACATGGAGACAAAGCCACTTGGGCGCTATTCTCAATTCCCGTTGTGTGTGGAAACACATTTTGGTTGATTCAGAGAAACCCAACGGTCCCTGGTGGCCTGTTGCTTAGAACCCTGGGTTCATACATGTTGACTCGGGGCGTTCCATTGAGAGGGAGCCCTGACCCCTTTTCGAGCCTTTCTTTTCATCCCAAATCCACGCCTTAGATATGGGGCGCATTCCCCCATCCCCCTCTTGGTGTTCTCTTGAAATTACTCCGCTGCGCACTTACCCGGAGACAAGTCAGGGAGGCCAGAAGTCATCTTGCTTGCAAGCATGACATGAGGATGATTTTTTTTGCTTCAACAGGGATCCGGATGCATTATACACCCGAACATTGCCTTGAAAATTGTGGTTTCCTTTCTATTTTTGGTGGAACAAGCCATGTTTCAAATGGGCAACATGTATCTTTTGAGGAGCCCTGTTTAAGGGCACCCTTTTTGGGGTTTTCAAAGGAAATCGAGGGGCAACACCGCCGTGCTTTTTTTTGTGTTCTCTGAGCCCCTGCCGCATCCGGGCGCTTGACGCATCCATCCGGGCCGCTGCACCACGGCGTTGCGCAGCATGGAGATCTTCACGTCGAACTGCCGAAGGCCCTGGACCAAGAAGATGCCGTCGCCCTGCGATCCGTCCTCGGGCCTTGGCAACGTGGGACGCGACGCGACGAGGACGCGAGGACGGCGAACAAGTTGTTGAACATGGAATCCGGAAAACAAAGTCTACTGATTGCTGGTCAACGATTTTTGGGGGCAGGGAGGGTCCGAAAAACAGATCCCAGTGAAGAAGGGAAAACACAACCTGCCATAAGGATTGAGTGTGAACAACCATTCCAAGTACCGTGCCATGCTCATGTCGAACAGTGCTCCACCGTGGTTTGCCCTGACCGCAAATGCGATCTTGAAGACAGCTTCTGTGACCACGGCAGTAATTGCCTTCACTAGTGCGATCCCTTCTGATCCATATCGCAGATCCCTACAAGTAAACTATACAGGACAAAAGACCGTAACCGGGCGTTTTTGCACTGGACTCGGCAACCCCACCGTCGCGCTTCCCATCAACACCTGGTCGGCCTTGTCAACTTATGTAGACACAAACACATCCAATTTGTGTAAAACAAAAATAATATCTTTGTCCAAAGGGAAAAGGACAATTTGAAACCCAGTTTGGTGGTTTCCTTTTGGGACACAAACTGCGAGGTTTCCCAGTGCGTTTTTCGGGACCCAAGTCCCGGCTCCCGAACTCAGATGGATCCCAGAACAAGTGGACCTTTTGGCTGGCGAAAAGGGAAAACGGAGAACCCCCCACCTCACTTCCTGAGTGGATTAAAATGGTCTTCCCAAACAAGTATCAAGTCCAGGAGCCACAGAGTCCTTTCAGGATGTGAACTAAGTCTGGCAAGTCTCCAACCATTCTTCACTCCCCCACTTTTCACTCCTCTCTCCCCGAATTTTCTCACTGGCACTCCCCCCATTTCACGGCCCACTCGGACCTCCCAACTCGACCCCGCGCGAGTCGCTTCACGATGAAGGTGGCCTTGGACTTCTCCAACGTGGCGCGGAGCTCCGGCAGCTGCTCCGGCAAGACCCAGGTGCCCGGGTTGAAGGAGAAGTACTCCGGGCTGCCTGGGCCAGGGAGAAAAGAAGTCCGTCGCGTCGATCTCAGGCCCCATGTTTTGGAGAAGAATGGCTTGGCATCTTGGTAAGAGCTTGGGTTGTAGACTTAAATCCGGGGCTAAATAGAAAAGACGCATCGCTCCCATGTTTTGGCGAGGAATGTCTTGAAGGGCTTGGGCGGAATTTTGAGGCCCGTCATTCAAGGGCTTGAGCTCGAGTCGAACCCCGAGCTTTGGAGAAGATTCACCAGAACTACTATGAGTTGCCACGGTTTTTCATGGAAGGCTTTGTTTCTGGCAGAGCCCCCACTAGAGATTTTACTGCAACCACACCCTTGGAGTGTTGGCAGTTGGCTTGCATCTGCTTGCCCCGACCCAGTCAGTTGATGTTTTGGCGACTTGGGTTTGGTATGGCGTGGGTTGGGGTTGGGTTCGGTCGGGCTGGCGATGTTGGTAACACGGTTGAGGAACATGAACGGCAATTCACTTTCGTGGTTGGCTATGGTTGGTTCCCGTGCCTATGACTACACTCACTTCGGGATTCCCTTGATATAGCAAACAGTGAAGACCTAAAACCCTATGTCCCACAACCATGCTTCATGATGGTCATGCGATGCACGTGATGTACCAGACACATGTTCTGTTTTCTCGCGTTGATTGCACCCGGTGCGCACAAACTATCAACGTTCGTTCATGGATGTGGGTGTTAAGTCGGTAGAGGCTTCTATGGCTTTTCTATGTCAGGAAGAGCTAAAGTTGACCGAGCTTTCTTCAACTTGACCTGTCACCTCGCACTTGGCTTAAGAGCATTTGGGGGCAACATGTAAAGCTGGCCCACGAGATCTGGAAGACGCGGCCAGAAAGGAGAAACTGGGAATGGACTCTTGGGCATCATGGGGACTTCTGCCCACCCATTATTGTTTTGAACAGGTGTTACCCACTAGCATGCATGGGCAGCTTGCAGCCATCTCAAACAAACACCAGTGAAGATTCGGCTTGGCTACGCAAACATCCAACAGCCCAGCTGGCTGTCCCCTCAGGGATCCGAATCTCCGAAAACGAGCAACTCTGGAGACTTGGTTTCCACAAGGAACTCGGCAGAGACTCAAACACCTCCACGACCCCCCAACGACTCAGCTCAGCGGCACAAGTCCTTGCAAGCTCGCGCCATGCGCGCGAAGTGGCCCTTGTCGCAGACCTCCGGCGCCCCGTAGCGGTTGATCCAGCAGCGGGGCGGAAGCGGCATCCGCTTCAGCCAGTCCGCCGATTGCATGACGCAGAAGATCCTCAAAACGCAACAGAAGCGAGCAGATTGGGCCACGAAACCGACCGATCTAGAGTAAATCTGCAACAAGAGCTTCAGTTTATGTGCACACAACTTGAGGTCATGAATCTTGTAACTGGCCAAGGTTGCCAATTTCGGGGATCGGCCAAACACATCCGACCCTGCTCTTGACAATGGAAGCCAGAGAAACACGAATCCGCAGGTCTAGAACCTTCCTTAAGGAATGACCATCCCCTTTTTGGGTTCCTTGTGGAATCAAACATGCGCCTTGTGAGGGTAGCCAATGGAGCTTTGACCACAGGCTAGGCAAACCGTCATTTTTGACCAATCAATGAGCGGCAGGCGTCCCGTTCCAACTTTGGGGGAGCAAATGGTCCACCAAACCCCCAGACTCCCAGTGGGCACGCCTGTTTGGGGAATGAACTCCTTCCTCGAAAATGATCGGAATAACCTGATGAATGAATACAATCGAACAACAATAGTTGTTTAAGGTGTTTGAACATCATCAAATGATTTTTCAAAAGGAAGAAAAAGGGAGATCCATCAACTGAATCCCTTGATTGGGAGGGCTTTTCACTAGCACGAAGGGAATAGCATATCCTCAGATGCCCAGTGGCCATGGGGAAAAAAGGGCACCCTTTGTTCTTGGTTGAGTTTGAAGGGGAACCCTTACCCGGAACAAGCTGAAAGAAGGGCGGAATCCACTACAGTATCTGTTGATTTTGGGGGTTTCTACTAGCACGAAGGGAAACTAGGTCCTCCAGTGGAGAGGTTAGAATAAGGGTGCCCTTTTTTCTGTAGTCTATTTTAGTAGTTTGGAACCCTCCCCCCAAAAAAGAAACAGAAAAGTTGGCACCAAGCTGGGGGACCTAGTTGAAAACTATGAACACCATATTTGGCCATGCGTCAAAAGCCCGTACCCCCAGTGAACATCCCAATCCCCACTAAAATGTACTAAAATGGGTGGTGCACCTACCCCAAAATGGTATCATCAGCCATTTGTCCGAGGCTCGTGGGCCTCACTTTATGATCGTCCAGATCTACCTCGCGCCAGCCCAGCTCGGCGGCCACATGGGAAAACAAGTCCTGCGATGCGCTGCGAACCTTCCGTGGAACCCTGGGAGCTTTTCTTGAGTGGGTGTGGCTGAAAAATCGGGGTCCGAAATAGGAACCCAGGTACATGGAAAGGTAGACTAAAACCTGCGGTTGGCCCCAGATGTTTAATTTTGACCCGCGCCCAAGGCCTCTTGCGGCTGGCTAGGATTGAACCCCGCGAAATGGCGGCAGTCGCAACATGGCTTTGATGTGACCGCCTCGCAGATGCGGCGCTTAAACTGCGAAACGGCACGAAACGGCACGAAATGGCGCCGTGCCATTTTCACACATTGCATTTTGAGGCCCACGCGGGGAAGTGGCAGCTTTGCTGCAAAGACAATTTAAAGGAGGCAGCTACTCACCATCCTCCGCACATCGTAAATCCGTGCGGCCAGGAAACTGGGGCGGGAAGTGGTGCAGTGGGGGCAAATACAGGTTCAGCGCTTGGGGCACGGTGACCCACGCGCAGGAAACGGCACAAACAGAGCAGGCTGAAACACCGGCCTACCAGTGGGACAGCCGACCCAAAGGGAGGCAAAGTCTCAAGCGCGCTTTTTATCAAGAGCAACTGCGTTTGTAAGGGCAGGGTCACAATGCGGCAGCGGTCCGAGGACTTCGTTGGACTCGTCGTTGGCCCGGACATCACCGCGTGTTGATGGCTCGATTCAAATGGCCAGCACAGCATTCCCTGAGATTGGCGTGATTCTTTTCGAGGCGGACGCACCCACCGCGGAAGTTGGGCTGGTGAAATCGCTGTGGCTGTGACTCCAGATCGCCAAGGTTTAGCTGCGTAGACAAAGTGAATGCTCGAGCTCGAAAAAGACTATTTGGGTCTCTTGCCGGGATAAGATTAGTGGGACACTTTCTTGGAATCCGGGAAACCATTGAAGCCAGAAAATCCTTCTCAGAATTCTTCTTTTGGACAAAAAGACGGGGTTCAGCGGTCTAAATAGTATATAACCAGTTTTTTTCGGCCTAGAGGCTGCCCCCAGTTCTGCTCTCTCCTGTTTGGGGGGTTTCCGAAGCTGTGCGAAAGAATAGTCATTCGCCCTCGTCGAATATTTCAACTTGCTCAAGGGGACTGTATTCAACGCTACGGGAATTCCTTTCAAGCAGTTGTAACAGGGGGGGAAATGGGGGACATGCGGGAAGGGGGCTTTGGAAAATGAGGCGCTGGCGGAAACCCGATACTTGCACGGGTGAGGGTCTCTTGCAAACAAACACAGGTTTTCATGCTGCTTGGGCGGAACTGTGGGGGGGGGGGGAGGTTCAAGGTGCGTCAATTAACTTCTGCAAAACGCGCGCGGACTCTCTTCTTCTTGCCGGTTGGCAGAGGGAGGGCGCTTGCTAACTTGAGCCCGGCGTGTGTGCGGCACTGGAGTCGTGCACTTCAGCGGGTGCACAAAGTTTTCTTGCAGGCGTGTGTGCGCTTTGATTTGGCAGGCATATATGCACAGAGCTGAGCGAGCGCGCTTGAGCTGGTATGCGTATGATTTGGCAAGCGTGTGCGCAGTGCTGGCGGAAGGGAATTGCATCAACATGGAAAGGCATGTGAAGCGTAATGGCAAGAGCGAGAGGGAATGTTGCGGGTCGTGTCGCTGCTATTGCAGGCAAGGCAGTGTGAAACACGCAGAAAGAGCAGGAGACGCGCAGAAAAGCAAACAAACAACCACAAGGACAGCAACAACAAGACAGAAATACATACATTTTGAACATCCCCCCTTGAGTACCTTCCCCACCATCCCCCACCCCCCTCCAATATCCTCCCCTTTGACCCCCCCGCCCCCAGCAGAAAGTCTTGCGATGAGCAAGCTTTCCCCCGCAGTCTCCAGTCACGCGCTCGCGCTTCAGTTTGATCTGCTTGTTGGCTGCTGTGGGGGTTGCCGGTAAGGGGGAGGGGGTTGCCAAAGTATCAGCTGGGCATCACACAATTCCGTGGGATGTCGCACAAAATACCTGGGATGGCGCCCGTCGCAAAGAACAACAACCTGCAGAGCGTCTCCAACAAAAGAACACCTATTGCAAACCACCCCAGTCTCAGGTTGGAAGTGCAAAATAACACCTTTGTTGTCCTCGGCGTTAACACCATCCCTTGTGGATGGACAAAATCCTGCACCACCTGAGAAACCCTGGAACGATGATTCCCCTGGAAATACCAACGAATACTGGTTTCAACCGTGGTTTCTTGGAAAATACAATCAAATAATGGTTTCAACCATGGTTTCTCAGACATATACCATCAAATACTGGTTTCAACCATGGTTTCTGAACGGTGGCGGTTTGAACGGATTTCGTCCATTGACCGAACCTCCCATCACCCGTTTGCCTTGGAGGACTTGCCGGTGCAGTCCGCAGTGTTCACTACAAAGGGCGAGGGCCCCTTCCGCCGAGCTCCTCGGATGGTCTCCGAGCTATGTCTTGAGGCAGGTTTTAGGTTGGTTTGCAGGGAAGACCAAAGGAACACCATCTTTCGGGCCATAGGAACTGAAAGTGAACATACTTCTTGGAGGCCCGAAGCGTTTTCAGGGTTCTGGTTCTGGGATCAGGTCAGTAGAAGGTACAAGTATGGTTCAACTCACCTGTGGATGAATCATATTTCACCAACCTGGAGTAGGACATCCTTAAAGGCCATAAAGGAACCTTCACCACGTGTCCCAAACACCCTCTTTTCTACTTTGCTTATACTGAAATAACCTGACATGAGGGATTTGTTTTCGTGAAAAGAGATGCTGGGTGAACTTGAAGAGGCTAAGCATCGAAGTCCTGACGGCCTCCGCATGCATCAATTTGACACGACTGATGCTAAGCACATCTTCCAAATCTACAGTGATGCACCCTAGCCTTGTGGATGGTATTCTGGATCTCCCAAGAGAGGAAGAACATCAGCCCAAAAAGGCAAGCCCCAGCCTGCTCCCCATTTTGGAGGGAGGTGCCTGGAACTTGTACAAACCTGAGGCTATCAGCTGGTATGTGGCTCAAGTCTCAATACCCTTTGGATGGGCTGCCAAGGAAAACCAACGGGAAGCCAGCACTTGGACGGGGTACACATACCAGTATGTTTCACACTCCGTGGCTTGAGCCAATACCCCAATACGCAGGATCCAAGCCTCATGGCATTTACACCCTCTTGCGGCCATATGGCCATCATCTATCGGGCTTTCGGTTGTGGCGAAGGTGGCTTCAACACCGAAAGAGGAACTCTCCACTTTAGGTGTCCGAATCCTATTTTTCGGGCTGCGCGCCTTGAAATGGAGCCCCACATGGAGATTGATGCTGGAAGCCCGGATTAACATAAACCCCCTCCGTTGATGAATAGGCCCTTCTAGTGAGGGGCACGTTCCCCCCCCTATAAATGGATGGGTTGACAAAGAATCTGAGGTCTACATTGCCCCCGAGCTCTGAGACCTTCCGAGCGCCGCCACTTTCTGATGCGAGGCGCTGCCTTCCGGCGCTTCCTCCACCCCAGGCGGTGGTGGAGGAGGCGGAGGCGGAGGCGGGGGCGGCGGCGGCATGTCCATGGCGCGCCAAGCGGCGGCCGCTCTCGAAGGGTACGAGATCGGGGGAGTGAGAATTGGAATAGACCCCCTTTTTCAACCATCCCCTTGGCAAGCACATGATTGGCATTGGCACCATCTATTGGAACCGTTTCGTTTTCTTCAGGGCCCGCAGTCCAACTTGAGCTCCTTCCTTGGAATTGGCCGATGCGGGTCAGATGGCTGGAGAATCCCACAATGTGTGAATATTTAAGATGAGGAGCACAAAGCATTTCGGGTTCATGTCGTTTCGCCTGGCATTCTTGTGCCAAGTCTTGGCTTTTTCTCCTGGCTTGATTCTGTTGGTTGGCAGAGCCGCAAAATACCAAGTTGGCAACCCCAAGTGCTCGGACAGCTTCCCGCAGTTGTGAATGTTTCCTTTATTTGGGGTACCGCATCCCTTGTAAAGGTCCTTGGTGTCCCTTGAATTTCCCCCAATTTCCGGAGTCCGAATCTCTCTCCGGATAGAGCACTCGTGGCTCGAGCCGGCTGGAAGCAGTCGACTTGGACATGGCATGGGTTTGTGTCTAGGGGCACCCCCCAAAATGCGCTTTTTCCCCTTGGGTCTCCCTTCAAAACCATCCCACAAAGGGTACCCCCCCAAAAAAATATATGGCAAGTGAGGTTGATTGGAACCAGAAGGGTGCAGGCTTATCAATGGTGGTTTTGAGGATGTTCCTAAGCCAAACCTTTCGCGTGGTCGAACCATCTCTCGTGCTCTTTTTTGGCATCCGAGTTAGCTTTTCCTTTCTGTTTTGAACCCGCATCAGATTGCAGCAACGTTGAGCAAATGGAATCAGCTTTCCACTTTTTGACCCAAGATAGACTTCAACCCAGAAGTCCTCATCTTTGAGGAACTGAGCCACTTGGGGTGCCCTGGCAGGTGCGCACGGATACATGGCTAATGCATACTGCGAGGGCCAAAATGACTAGACCATGGCTCTACTTCAAAACCGAATGCCGTCAAGGAGATATCCACTCGCAGACCTCCAGTGGCCATGGGAAAAAGGGGGAACAACGAGTACTAGTGGAGGCTTAGGCCAGTGATTCTCTCGGCCGTTTCTTGTCTCAAAAGTGGTAGGCACGGCGTTAGGAGCATCTTGTGCCGAAGGGAAGTCCGCAATCCATAGTTCCTGTGACTCATGCAGACATCAAATTGCCCCATGTGTCTGTATCAAGCTTGTTGAGTCCAAGGAAACAACCCGCCAGAAGTTCGAGACTCCAACACATCAATCCAACCACCACTTGCACACCTACAATTCAACACGAAACTCACAAAGCCTGGGGGAAACCCTCGAAACATGGCAGCCCTCTGATCCCCTGCTAAAAGATTAACTTTTGGTAGGCTAAATGGAACCCCCTACTACCCAACTAAAAAGCTAAACAGCTAAGAAGATGGCTGGGAGCCACCAAGTCTAAACAGGACTGTTTGCTGGGCTCCATGTTGATCCATGCGAAGCCGCGCCGCCTTTTGACGCGGGACATCGCCGTTTCCACCTCTCATCTCAAGCGGCGCGGTTGCCGCGTTGCCAAATGCGCTGCCTCGTCGCGAGAATTGGAGATGCATGGCTGCCCATGTGTGTGCTTTGGGCACCCTGACGCTAGGGTCCAATTCCTCATCCCCAACCCCCCTGTGGTTTCCTCCGAGTTAGCCTAATTACGGGGTGATTGGGATCCTACCAACATGTTCACCTGTCAGAACTCATGATTGTTTCGCTTTGAAACCAGCAACAAAAACACAACAACAAGAACGAGAACGAGAACGAGATCAGCAACAACAACAGCAACAGCAACAACAACTGCCACCACCACCACCACCACCACCACCATCACCACCACCACCACCACCACCACCACCACTACCACCACCACCACCACCACCACCACGACCAGAACAAGAACAAGAACAAGCGCAAGAGCAAGAGCAAGAGCAAAAAGAAGAAGAAGAAGAAGAAGAAGAAGAAGAAGAAGAAGAAGAAGAAGAAGAAGAAGAAGAAGAAGAAGAATAAGAATAATAAGACAAAATATGAATAACAAGAACAAGAAGAAGAAGAACAACAACCTGCCTTCCAATTCATAGTTGTCAATCTGTTCGAAACTAATTATTGGTGAGGTCCGCGAGACATGTTTCCGCTTGACTCGACTCGCTTGTCGGCAAGGATCAGCACACAAGCTGAATTGGGAGATACAGTGATCCATCACCCCTGACAAACGTCTGACTGTGTCCAAGCCGACAATCCTGCATCAGACCACTGGATAGGAATATCACAGAGAGCCAACAAATTCAAAACCGTACAACAAATCCTCGCAAGTCTAGATGAACAATCTGTTCCACAAGAGGTGACCTTTTGCCAAGTTCCGCAACTGTGGAGCCCATAACAGAACATGTGCAGGCATACAATGAACATGGCATACTAAAAAAAATCGTTGTTTGGGTTTCCTTTTGGATCATTCATTTTTGGCTACTGTCTGAAACGAGACACATCCATTCTTGATCGCCGGGAATATCATAAACTCAAAGCTTGCCATACCCGAGCTCCCCTGGATTGCTTGAACTGTCGATTTTGCGAAAGTGTCTTGCCCATGTGGCGCGTTTTCGCTTGTATCGCCTCAATTGTTGAACTGGTGGCCTTGCAAAGAATAGATCCTGCCCGCAATATGCGATTGCTTGATCAGACACTTGCTCAACTTCCCGAGTTTTTTTTCTAGGGTGTTTTCCTGTTGAAGCTCGCCTCCCTTGCAAGGCGAAGAATACCGGGGTGGCTCAAAAACTGACACAGTCCAAAATCAAAAACATCTTCGAGGCGCCATATTGTTTCAAGAGCCGGGTGTGCTACCTATGTTGCTGGTGAATCATGGCGACACCCAGCGCAAGCAAAAGGGCAGCAAGCTTACCTTCCTTCCCCACAAATGGAACCCAGAAAGCGGCATGTTTAGAGCCCAATGCCGAAGTAACGCAGAAAACGCTGTGAGGCCCCACTTAGAACCGTCATTGCAGCCTGCATCTTTTGATTGTGGGGGACCCTCTTCCAATACTTTCAGGACAGCCTGACATTGATGGTCAGGTCATCTTTAGGCCCTTGGCCGGTTGAGAAGGTCGCGCCGACATTGCGCATAGCCCTGGCCGTGCGGGAGTTCTCTTAGATGTATCTTACCCTTTTGGTGTGTTAGCAGCATTTGGGTCGGTCTCAAAATCGGGGAATCCCTTTTGGATGGTTTTGAAGGGAAACCAAAGGCAAACCAACACCCTGGGGGAGCCCCCAATTTTGCTGTACACTCACTTCTTCATGAACACCAACTGATGTGTTCGTGAATGTTCGGTGTTTCGCATGTTTCATCAACGTGCAACAATACATCAATCGAGTTTTGGCAGCACCAACTCAAAACGCACACTCGCCCCCAAACAGTGGAGACTTGATGGGGCTTTGTTGGAGACGCCCGAACGCAACACCATGGATGTTCATGATCAGCAACAGATTCGGCAGCACCCCTAGATTGTCAAGGCAAAGAGGAGCCAAACAAAATGGCCCGCAGGTGGCCAATAAATCGTTGGAGCAGAGCCGAAAGCTTGTGGAACAGCGTGGGATCTGTACCCAGCAAAACAAGATAAATCTGAATGATTCCGAACAAATCAAGGTGTCAATCGGGGATGTAAACGTAAAGGACCCTCTGAAAAACTTGTGACACTCCCATCAGGCAGAGGGGGTTTGTGAACATTTGGGGGTCATCCCAGACGCGTGGCCATGAGCAAAAGGTCGACCTTTCTTAGTTGATTTACAAGGGACCCCTCCAAGAAGAAAGAGAAACGGATGTCTGGATGTGGGTAATTCCCTCAGTGCCTTTTGAGATCAAGTTCCACGCATGAGCAGATCGGCAGTCTCACGGGACAGGAGAAACCGAGTGTGGCACTCTGCCACGGTCTTCTCTTTTGTTCCTAACTCAACTACTCAGTGCTTTCACGTGAGGGTTCAAGACGGAGTCTTCCAAAGCGATGTGTTTCGCAGGAGCGCACGTTCGAGGCCGGGTCACAGTTCTGTCACTTTCGGGGTTCTTCAAATAATAACGTGTGCGAAAACACCTTCGTTTGGTCAGAGGGTCCACCCAAAACGGCCTCTCTCCTTTTCCCACCGTCACCTAGCAGGCAGTCCTCTTGGCCCATCCCTAGTGGCCTCTCGCTGTTACTAGCCCCCTCCCCGAAGCAGACCTCCAACCGTGCACCCACCATGGAACTTGACGGGGGCTCCTGAAAGACAATTTTACTCAACGGACCTTCTGGTGGATTCCATGTTGGGGCACTTGGGCCACAGACTGTATCCCGACGAAATTTCCACAAGCAAGGGCTGGTGTGCAAAGGAACCACTAGGATAACCAGTCTGATGGGTTCTCCATTGGTGCGGAACACGCTTTCGTCGGGAGTTGGATGCGTCTGGGATTCACCAACGTCGGAAGCACCCTTGCAGACACGGCAATTTGCCCCAGTTGCGTCCAGTGCCCCGAACGCTTTTCGGGAAAAACACACACTTTGAGTTTGGTTGAATCTTTGAAAGGTGGAGTCCGCAAAACTGACCCTCCCATTCGAGCCCTGCCTTCCTCAGCCAAATGCAGTCCTGTGTCACGTATTCGGGGTCGTTGGAGTTCAGGCACTCCTGTACATCCGCTCCACGCTAGGGTGCCCCGGGACTCTTTGGACAAGTCCCCATTTCGGGTGACATCTGGAAAGGAAAACACCTTGTTTTCTTGAGCCATGTGCGTGTTAAGTGTCGAAAGAGGCGCAAACAGTGGCTGAACTGCTTTCAGCAGGGTCAATGGCAAATTTCGGCATCGGCACGGGGTGTGAAGTAATAGTTGTGCTGGTCAAACGGCCCTTGGACAAGGTGCCGCCTACTCCGAGTGGAGCCCAGCAATGTCTTGCTTCACCAAACAACACCGACCCGAACAAACCGGGCCTAGGTGTCCGACCGGGAAAAACGTTGACAGACTGAAATTTGCGCCTGACTTCTTCCCAGCCGGGCCTTCCGCTCGATTCAAA